TTCACCTGCACATCTGCCAATGTGGTATACTGCATCCGCTGTACCCGGTGTGGCTTCCTCTCCATCGGGGAAACCAAGCGGAGACTCGGGGACCGCTTTGCAGAACACCTACGCTCGGTTCGCAATAAACAACTGCACCTCCCAGTCGCGAACCATTTCAACTCCCCCTCCCATTCCTCAGACGACATGTCCATCCTGGGCCTCCTGCAGTGCCACAACGATGCCACCCGAAGGTTGCAGGAACAGCAACTCATATTCCGCTTGGGAACCCTGCAGCCCAATGGTATCAATGTGGATTTCACAAGTTTCAAAATCTCCCCTCCCCCTACCGCATCCCAAAACCAGTCCAGCTCGTCCCTGCCTGCCTAACCTGTTCTTCCTCCCACCTATCCCCTCCTCCCACCTCAAGCCACACCTCCATCTCCTACCGACCAACCTCATCCCGCCCCCTTGACCTGTCCGTCCTCCCTGGACTGACCTATCCCCTTCCTAACTCCCTACCTACACTCACCTTTACTGGCTCCATCCCCGCCTCTTTGACCTGTTTGTTTCCTCTCCACCTATCCTCTCCTCTATCCCTCTTCTATCCGCCTCTCACTCTCTCCCTATTTATTTCAAAACCCCCTTCCCCTCCCCCTTTTCTGATGAAGGGTCTGGGCCCGAAACGTCAGCATCTCTGCTCCTATGATGCTGCTTGGCCTGCTGTGTTCATCCAGCCCTGCACCTTGTTGTCACAAATTTTCCAAGTTTATTTTTCATGTTCATATTTTCTCATACGAGTAATAGCATCCTTGTGAATTTGGCCAGTAACCTCAATTGCTTCAACACCCTTCCTATAGTGTAGGTACTACATATAGTGCTCCAGCTATGACCTTACTAAGGTTTTATATGGATTTAGACTTTATTATTCCATGTCCCTTACCATAAGACCTAGTTTTCCATTATTTTGATGATCTCATCCACGGAGTGTTGCTTTAAATATCATAATAACCCATCTCTCCAAAATTTGTCTGCTCTTCTTGGACACGTAATCTACCCCATTCTAAATTTAACCTCACATTTGCTGACATTAATTACTACCCTTTTATTGTTAATCTTCAATTTTATCGATATGCATTTGTTGCTTCCTTTGGTCACCAAAGTTATTATGCAGGAGTAACATAACAACACCTCCAATGTTAGCCCTGTTTGTAAATCTGGACATCACTTCCTCATGTTCTGTGTCATTTAAAAAAAAAGCAATACATTACAAGCCCAACGAGAGAGATGAAATTCTGGATTTAGTTTTGGGAAATGAAGATGAAAAAGTGAGTGAAGTAACAGTGGGTGACCATATTAGGGATCGTGATTACAGTTTGGTTAGATTTAGTATTATTATGTAAAAGACAGGGTTAAATTCGGAGTAAAAGTTTTAAACTGGGGGAAGGCATATTTTACAAAACTGAGAAGTGATTTGGCTGAGGTGGAATGGACAGGACTGCTAAAGGATAAATCAGTGGTAAACCAGTAGAAGACACTAAAAAGTGAGATCCTTAGGGCACAAAGCAGGCATATCTCCTCCAAAATTAAAATGGCATTGCCAAATCTAGACCACCATAGTTGTCTAGAAAAGTACAGGGAAGATTGAAAAGAAAAAGTGAATGATAGTCACAAAAAACTCAACATTGCAGATAGCCTACAGGAGTATTGAAAGTACAGGGATCAAATTTAAAAAAAAGGAAATCAAGGAGAGGGCATGAAAAATATTAGCAAGCAAGATAAACGAAAACCCAAAGATGTTCTTACCATATACGGGATAGCAAAAGGATAGTTAAGGATAAAGTAAGATCTGCCAGAGATGAAGAAGGGAACTTGTGAAGATGCAGAGGATATGGGAAGAATTTTAAATGAAGTTTTTGTGTCTGTATTCACAAAGGAAAGGGTCGATGTGGATATAGTAATCCAAGAGGAACTGTGTGAAATATTGGACAAAATAATCGGAACAAGAGAGGAAGTGTCAGAGGAATTGGAATTCTTGAAAGTGGATAAGTTGCCAGGGCCAGATCGATTATTGAAGGAAGTCAGGGTGAAAATAACAGATGCTCTGAGGATTATTTTCCAATCTTCACTAGATGGTGGAGAAGTACTGGACAACTGGAGGAATGCAAATAGGGTTCTGCTGTTTAAAAAGAGCACAAAGGACCTGCCAAACAATTATAGGCCAGTTAGTCTTACTTTGGCAAATTGTTAGAATCAATCCTGAGATTCCATGTTACATGGAAAAGCATGGAGTAGTCAGGGATAGTAAGCATGGCTTTGTTAAGGGAAGGTCATGCCTTACAAATTTGGTTGAATTCTTTGAGGAAGTGACAGGACAGATCGATGAGGATAGCGCAATGGATGTTGTCTACATGGATTTTAGTAAGGCATTTGACGAGGTCCCACATGGCAAACTGGTCAAAAAAATAAAAGCCCATGTAATATAGGGTAATGTATCGAATCTGATCCAAAGATGGCTTAGTAACAGGAAACAAATGGTCGATGGCTGCCCTTGCAAATGGAAAGCTGTTTCAAGTGGTGTTCCACAGGGCTCAGATTTGGGACCCCTGCTGTTTGTTTTATACATTAATGATTTGGACTTGAACGTGGGGGACACAATTGGGAAATTTGCAGATGATAGAAAAATGAGCCGTGTAGTGGATAGTGTACAGGATGTCTGTAAGCTCCAAAATTATATAGATGGATTGGTGGAATGGGCAAGAACGTGGCAGATGGAAGTTCACCTCTACTCAGTGTGAGATAATGCATTTGGAGAGGTCAAACAGCAAAAGGCAATACACAATAAACAGGAGTATACTGCAAGAGGTAGATGAAGTGAGAGATTTTAGCATGAAAGTGCACAAGTCCCTAAAGGTCGCAATACAGGTAAATTAGGTTGTAATGAAGGCAAACGGACTGCTCTCCTTTATTGGCAGAAATACAGAATACAAAAGTAGGGAATATAATGATGAAACTGTATAAGACACTGGTGAGGCCATAATTGGAGCATTGTCTGAAGTTCTAGTCACCACGTTACTGGAAGGACATAACTGCTCTGGACAGAGTGCAGAGAAGATTTACCAGAATGTTGCCAGGGCTGGTGTTTATAGCTACAAGGAGAGATTAGAGAGGTTGGGGTTGTTTTCTTTGGAACAGACGGAGACGGTGGAGGGGCAACATGATTGAGGTATACAAAATTGTGACGGGTAGAGATAGAGTAGACAGGAGGAACCGGTTTCCCTTGGATTACAAGGGATGTGAGGAATAACCTTTTTTACACAGAGTATGGTGGCTGTCTGGAGTTTGCTGTGTGAGTTGGTAGTGAAAGCAGAGACCCTAAACTATTTCAAAATGTACCTGGATTTGCACTTCAGGTGCTGTAAACTGCAGGGCTATGAGCATTGTCCAAGAAGATAGGATTAGAAAGGGCATCTGGGCATTTGGGTCAGCATGGACAAGATGGACTGAATGACTTCCTTATGTGCTGTATCATTTCTAAGGATCTATGGTTCTATTCATGCGTACAATGAGCAGAAGTGGTGCAAAACAGAACCTATGTGGGATTCCAACCACTCCAAGTTGCCTTTACTTCCTACTTTATGTTCTAGCCAGTTTTTCATTTAATTTACAATCCTAATCACCCTAATTCCAATCTTCCTTAATGTTTGGCAATAGCCTTCCATATGATGGGTGGAATTTTATAGGGGTCTGAGTGGCACGACATGACTTGCTGCAGAATCAGGCAAAAAGTATGGCTGAATCTGTATGCAGAACTTCTCGGCTCCATATGGTCT